CTCTCTCTCTCTGCAAGTAGATTGTATATTATAATTCTTGCTAAGAAAGGAAACAGGTTTCTTACACAAACCTAATTCTTGAATTGAAAACAACCCAACTTGTGAAACTTAGTTGTTCTGCTCCTCTATTCTTTCCATTTTATAACGCCTGGTGTCTTCAAATGTCTCTTTTCCCTTCTCTTTGCAGCAGTTCTGTGGTGTTCTTGGTCACACATTTATGGAGTTTCTGAAGGGCAGTGGAGACTACTGCCAGGCACAGCACGAGCTCTATGCAGACAAGTGAACTGTAGAAACCCAGCCCTACTCCACCAAGAAGCCCCCTGAGAGCGGTTGCCCAGGAGAAGAAAGTATTGAATTGCGACTGGCAGAGCATTTCACAACCGAATTCAGACCTGGATGGGGTAAACCTCAGTGCGCTGCCTTTCCTTCGCCTCAGTATTACTGGATTGAAGAATTGCTGCTTCTTGTGAGGAGGTTCATTTCATTCCCCATTGCTCCCAACTTCATCCTTCCAAGCACTGAGAATTTCCCGTGGAGTGTAGTGAAGTAGACTTCCGTTTCTCTACATCACTTCTGTATTCGAATTTTTCCGTTTGGTTTGGTTGGTTGGTTGTTTTTTATTTTGTTTTTTTTTTTTTTAATCCTTTCATAATCTTGTTGCATGTTTAACTAAACCAATATGGCCCGAATGAACCGCCCAGCTCCCGTGGAGATCACCTACAAGAACATGAGATTCCTGATCACACACAACCCGACCAATGCAACCTTAAACAAATTTATAGAGGTGAGTTCAGGTCAGAATCCACACTGGTGTCTTTTTTTAACGCCTGAACAGCATGCTGTGGTAACAGTTTCCTCCTTTACTGGTTGATTACAGCCGTGGAAGCCATGTGGAGAGGTACTGAGGCTGTGTGTTGGCTTTTTTTCCCATCAAATACTGTTGCCATGCTTCTGAGTCCTGCAGACAAATCAATGCAGATAGACTTTGGCCTTCACAAAAACATCTTTCTGAAAGGGAAACCAATTAATTATGCTGTACATTGCACATTTAGTACATTGTATAAATCTGAAAATGCAAATTATCTGGCAGAGTCGTGTCGAACAATACAAATATTTGCTATCAGTAGGGACTTACACTGCTTTAGATGCATCTAAGTGCAACATTTCTATGTGCCTATTGCATAGCAGTTTAAGAGAAGAATTCAGTACACATGGATCAGAACCTGAGGAACAAATAACAGGGTTGTACCGTGCTTTTCCTTCACGTCTCCCTTCAATATTAGCAGTTCATAGCTGTGGTGTAGCTTAGGGGAATCCTTTTGAGTGTCTGCTTGAGGGACATTTGTGGTGGTGGGTGATTTTAAGTGTATCAGACCTTTATTTTCCGTTCAGTGTGGGATAATTTACAAGAAACACAGTGAGATAACATTTAATTGCCTTTATACTCTCAAAGCTGGAGAGCCTGAGTATGCTTGGGCTATGGCATTTAGTGTGAGTTTAGTGGTGTTGCAGGGAGAATGAAGAGCAAAGTTTGGTTTTTTCACTTAATGTTTTTCAATAGAGGGTAATGGCAAACTGGAAAGTTAAATTTGCTTATCCTCTAATTATGATAACTCAGGGATTGGAATTAATTATTGTCCTGTGCTCTTAATTTTGAGCAGTAAGAGGTCTTACAAACCTGTTTTAAGCAGTGGGGAGAGAAGATCTTAACCTTACTGTGTAGCTTTGCAAACCAGGAAACTTCCCGTGCCTTTGAAGGAAATGATCTTTTGGAGATGGACTGCATCAATATTGATCTGGATCTGATTTTAAAAGAAGAAAAGTCCAATCTAGCATAACAGAACTTAATATTCAGATGTGTTTGCAGAAGAGCTTAAAGGTGTCTGGCATTAGAACACAGATTTCCAGTTATTTCAGCTTTCTGTTCTTCACAGGGTGGCAAGTATTTGAGTTGACTTGGAATGAGTTAATAAGGTAATGCATTGAGAAAATCAGGTGGTAAATGAAGTCAGTTTACCATTAAAGCAGTTGTGTTTTGTTTGTGTTGTTCTTGCTACCTAGGAACTTAAGAAATACGGCGTTACCACAGTGGTGAGAGTGTGTGAAGCTACTTATGACACTGCTCCGGTGGAAAAAGAAGGCATTCAGGTTTTGGTAAGTGGTGTAGAAAGCAGAGTTTAACATTGGCACCCCAAATAAATGCCTTTGATACTACTTTATTAATTATTTCTACATCCTGGGGTGGCTGAGAAGGGGTGGTTGTAGGGCAGAGAGGTTCTCCTGCCCCTCTGCTCTGCCCTGCTCACACCACAGCTGCAATCTTGTGTCCAGTGCTGGGCCCTCAGCTCCAGAAGGACAGGAACTGCTTGAAAGAGTCCAGCAGGGCCACCAAGATGAGATGCTGGAGGGAGTGGAGCATCTCCTGCTGAGGAGCGGCTGAGGGAGCTGGGGCTCTTGAGCTTGGAGCAGAGGAGACTGAGGGGTGCCCTCATTCCTGGGGATCCATTGGAAAAGGGCAGTGTCAGGAGGAAGGAGCCAGGCTCTGCTCTGGGATGGCCAATGGCAGGACAAGGGGCAATGGTCCCAAGCTGGAGCACAGGAGGTTCAAGCTGAAGATGAGGCCAAAGTTTGTGAGTGTGAGGGTTCTGGAGCATGGCCCAGGCTGCCCAGAGAGGTTGTGGAGTCTCCTTGTGTGCAGACACCCAAAGCCCTGGCCGTGTTCCTGTGTGACTGCTCTGGTGATCCTGCTGTGGCAGGGGTTGCACTGGGGGAGCTTTCCAGGGCCCTTCCAACTCCTGACATCCTGGGATTCTGTGATATAGGTGTGTTGTCTTTTCTATCAACTTTTAAGTTATTGAATGAATGGACACAAGCTGGAACACAGGAGGTTCCACTGAAATTGGAGAAGAAACTTCTTCTCAGTGAGGGTGACAGAGCCCTGGCCCAGGCTGCCCAGAGAGGTTGTGGAGTCTCCTTCTCTGCAGACGTTCAAAACCCGCCTGGACGCCTTCCTGTGTAACCTCATCTGGGTGTTCCTGCTCCGGCAGGGGGATTGGACTGGATGAGCTTTGGAGGTCCCTTCCAATCCCTAACGGTCTGGGATTCTGTGAATACTATAGTTCCCACTTGATCTTGCATCTAGAATTTGAATAAAGCCATGACTTTCCTTGGCCAGTATTTATGTAAATATGGCACTTTCTTACCAAGGAAATCTATTCCTCCTGACATCCTGTGGTTCTGTGACCTCTATAACTGTATTCCAGCAGCTGATGGAGGCAAAGGCTGTGCAGATATCAGTTCTCTAATCAGGGAAAAAAACATCTGATTCTGAGCAAAATCATTTGCTCAATGATAACAGATGAAAAGAAATACATTCCTTACGTTGCTATACTTACACCTCTAAAAAACTGTTGGCTTGAGTGGTTCCCTCAGCTGTTTGCTCTGTTGTCCGTTGTATCCCCTGCTTTTCTGTATGCGCAGAGCATACGAGCATGAACAATTGTATTTAAGTATTTATTTGTCTGCTGTGCTCTGTTGTAGGATTGGCCCTTTGATGACGGTGCTCCACCCTCCAACCAGATCGTTGACGATTGGCTAAACCTCCTTAGGGTGAAATTTCGGGAAGAGCCGGGCTGTTGCATTGCTGTGCACTGCGTTGCTGGTCTCGGAAGGTGGGTCAAGCTTTCGAGAGCTGCTGAGTTGCCAAGATTTAGTACAAAACTTGAAGCCAATGTAAAGTAGTCGCATACCCTGTATTGGAATGGCCTCGTGTTTAAAAGTGGTTCAGAGGACAGGAAGCTGTTGTATTTATTAGACTTAAATAGCTTTTAGTCACTAGTTCATGCTATTATCACAGCTCTTGCACAGAAAACTACTGAGTAAACAAGTATTTTAATGTACCAAGCATAATGATTGGTATTTTGTCTTGCTGAGTCTGGGTTTTTTTTGCTTGTAATGGGTTTGGATGTTAGGGACTCGCCTGTAAGTATCTTCTTCATCCCCATTTCAGTCTCCTTGTACCAAGGCTGTGGTAACCGTTAGCCACAGTGGAGCGTTGTGGCACTTCAACACCAACTTTCAGCCCTGTTGGGGGATGAAAAGTGTTCTCAGAAGTCCCAAAGCTCTGTTTCTGTCTCATCTCTAAACACTGAGCCTCAAAATCTTTATGGATAATGCTAAATATTCTCCTTCTAACCCTGTTCCCAGTCTGCTGCCACTTTCTTAAATAACATTCCAACAGTTAGGAGAACATAATGATTTTGTGGCTATTTTCTCGACTACCTGGGAATTGGATCTGTTAATAAAGCAGTTGCTGTTCTAGCCATGAGTTTCAGCATTTCCAGTATAAAAGGGAGGTTTCTGGTCTCGCTGTCCATCACCCTGGCTCATCGACTGCTTGCATTGCGGCTTCATGTGTAACAGAGTTGACTGTTTTCTTAAATCCCTGAACATATAAAGCCACTTAGGCTTGCTACTGGATGCACACACTGCTACTGTGTGCCATAGGGTTTTGTCTTCATTTATTTTCAGCCATAAATTGCTAATTAGTTGCTGATTTCTGCTGTGGGCTCCTTACTGCTTCTAAGGAAGCTTGTTTGTGGGAACAGAAACACATATGCAACCCTTCCCCAAAATCAAATGGCTTTGAAACAAATGGGTAAAGATTACTTGCATTTTATTCCAAAAATCTCCTGTACTGCAAGTCAGATGAACAAAGCTAAGGCTGAGCAGAGTTAATTTAGGACCCTTTCTTAATGAGGATCATGGAATCATAGACTGGTTTTGGTTGGAAGAGACCAAATATAGAGTCCAACGTTAACCCAACCCCAATGGCCATAAACCATGGCCCCAAGTGCCATATCCACCACTTCTTGAACCCCTCCAGGGATGGGGACTCCACCACCTCCCTGGGCAGCCCCTGCCAGTGCTTGACCACTCTGGCACTACAGAAATTTCTCCTCACATCCAATTTCACCCTCCCCTGGCACAACTTGAGGCCATTTCCTCTCGTCCTGTCCCTGGTTCCATGGAAGAAGAGACCAACACCCCCCTCTCTACCCCCTTCTTTCAGGAGCTGCAGAGGGGATAAGGTCTCCCCTCACCTCCTCTTCTCCAGTTGAACCCCCCAGCTCCCTCAGCTGCTCCCCAGCATTCGGCTGCTCCAGACCCCTCCCCAGCTCCCTTGCCCTTCTCTGCCCACACTCCAGCCCCTCCATGTCCTTCTGGGAGTCAGGGGCCCAAAACTGACCCCAGGATTTGAGGGGCGGCCTCAGCAGTGCCCAGCACAGGGGATGATCCCTGCCCTGCTCCTGCTGCCCACACCAGTGCTGGGACAAGCCAGGATGGCCTTGGCCACCTGGACACTCTGCTGGCTCCTGTTCAGTTGCTGTCACCAACACCCCCAGGTCCTTTTCTGCCTGCAGCTCTCAGCCACTGCTCCCCACGCCTACAGCATCCATGGGGCTGTTGTGACCACAGGGCAGGCCCCGACCCTTGGCTGTGTTCAACCTCACACCATTGGCCTCAGCCATGGATCCGGCCTGGCCATCAATAGCTCAGTTAACATAGAAATGCTTTCTGCCTGTCTTTTTCTAAGTTTGCAGTGACAGATGCTAAACCAAGTATTTCCATATTTGTTTTTACCAGAGCTCCAGTCCTGGTTGCTCTTGCACTGATCGAATGCGGAATGAAGTATGAAGATGCGGTGCAGTTCATAAGACAGTAAGTACAGAGCTCATAGCCAGCTGTTTCCTTGGATTTTTAATAAAATGAATGCAAGTTGGATGAGAATAATTTTAGTCTCAATGCCTTAACGTTGCAGCTTTCAACTATATTTAAAAGAAGCTATATAAGCAATACTAAAATACTTACTGGCTCGTAAAGAATTAAATTCAGCTCTGTGTATCTTGACAGCCTGGTGTAGATAAAGTGAGGAACAGGGAGGCTGGTACAGACTGCAAATGCTCTGTGAAAATATCCCCTTCTTTCACACGTTTCTGGTTGGAGAAAATCAAACAAAGCTCCATTTCTGGTCAACTTCTTCTTATGGGGAGCTTAAATATTTATGTGCTTTCTTAATATTGTCGTATTCCTCATAATTGAGGCTGAATAACTTCGGCTTTCTAAAGAAGACTGGCTCACATTTGCTCCATAGCTTCCTTTTGGAGTTCCTCCTAAATATCTTCATTAGGATCTTTGGCTTGTGTAGGAGGCCCGAAACGCCCTCCGGGGAGGCCCGAAACGCCCTCCGGGGAGGCCCGAAACGCCCTCCGGGGAGGCCCGAAACGCCCTCCGGGGAGGCCCGAAACGCCCTCCGAGATGCTCTATATTCCTTTAAACACATGGTCCAATGAAGTATTTGTGCAAGAAAGCCACCACCCTCTTTCCTGGCACTTTTAATCCCTGTTAATTTGATTGCAGTCTTAATGGTGTGGGGTTTTTTTTTTAAGTGACCTAACATTATATTTCACTGGTTGGTGATACCACTTCACTGGGCAGTAAGATTAATGTCCTATTCCAAATCAATTTATATTTTAAAACATCTCCTTATTTTTCCTCCGTCCAGGAAGCGGCGTGGAGCTTTTAACAGCAAGCAACTCCTGTACTTGGAGAAATACCGCCCCAAAATGCGTCTGCGTTTCAAAGACTCCAACGGTCACCGCAATAACTGCTGTATCCAGTAAAGCTCGGCAGCCTATGCAGTACTTCCTTGGGATGAGAGGATGGCGACTGGAAATTCAGCGGACTGCGTGGCGAAAAGCATGAGTCTGGTGGTTTTTAGCAGTAAAGGAAGCTTCCTTAGGAGTATTTAATAGGCTAAAGGCTTAGTAGAAATGCCAGGTGTACGTTTTAGGTAAATACCCGTCTTGGTTGGAGACCTGGGAGGGAAGTGGTTTTTTGTTTTGGCTGTACCCCCGTTTCCGAGCAGTCTCCTCATTCATTCATTACCAGTTGGAATCCCCTCGAGCGATGCCACTGAGTCTTACCCACCCGGTTTCAACTATGACAAATCGGGGTGAAAAATACAACCCGTTAAAAATCAATGGATCTGTAGCGAGATGAGGTGCCAAACCACCCAGCAGATCGGCTAACGTGTCGTTTTCCTGTGTGAACGAGCGTAGCTCTGATGTGAGAACCGACCACCACCTTACCTGGACCTTACTCACTCTCTTTACTTTCTACAGTCGTTTGGGTATTGAAGAACGTGGCCTCTGAGACAGCCTTGCCTGCTCACTCTGTTTTATCGCCCACAATCGCACTAGAAACACCAGGATTTGCACACTTGCTCTTTGTACTGTTCCAAATTACAGCCACTCTTTACCTACCCAAACCCCCCAGCATCTCTACCTTTTATTTTTCCCCTCCCACCCCGTTACTCCATGTTGCAAATCATCGCAAAGCTGCGGTTACTCGTGCAGTAAAACCTTTTCCAGCTGTACAGAAGCACACAAGTCTTTAACGCCTCCAGACAAAATAAAAGCCTTACAGTAAAGTTAACGTTGGCACTTCACAGAGGGCCTCAAATAAAAAGGTTTGGGATGGGGGGGGGGGCTATTTAATATTTCTAGTCAAAAATGTTGCCTTTGTCTTGTGCAGGAAGTAGAGAAGATGCCCTTTGACTTCAGTACCTATTTTTTTAAGAGGTAGAAATGCTTTGTTATCGTAGCTAACAAGAAATAACTCTTAAATCGGATAAAATTTGGGGAAAAACCTCGGTAGTTTCTTTTCCTGTACCTATCGACAGCTGTTTCCCGACTCTTGCTTTGTTGAAAGTGTGATTTATTTCCTTTTTATTTCTTTCTCTTTCTCTTTTTTTTCTTTTTCTTTTCCTCCTGGAGTTTCTGCCGTGACTCGGGCAGACCTCGGTAATATTTCGTATGCCTTTCAAGCTGCGTAACTTCAATATTTGGGATACTTGATGATAAATTTGTTTTTGTTCTCTTCCGTAACGGATCCAAATGGTGATGTGTATTAATGTTAGTTCAACCATATATTTATACTGTCTTGGGAATGTGTGGTTATAGTTCTGTGGGAGAAATAATTTCTTTTTTTGCCAGTGTTCACCAGCTTGTAAAAATCTAGTGCGAGAGCTTCGACATCTAAATAAATCCTGAAATGCACTTAACGAAGTCTGCTGAAACGCTCGTGACTTTCACTTCTCTTCGTGTACTTGGAGGTGCCTCAATTCAGAGTCTACCCCCGGCATCTGGTTTCTTCTTGGTTGGTTTTTTTTTTTCTTACTTTCAATCTGGGCCTGGATGTCCCCTTTGCTGTAATGTTTGCTGTTTGTTTTACCCATCAATAAATGTGGATGGAAATTAATAGTAGGGAGTGCGGGATTTCTTTATGTAGCTTACTTGGACTCGATGGAATTAAATGTGGGCAGGCATCTCTTGCCTTTCTTGGTAGGTGGGATGTGATGTGCAACAGGATTGAATGTACCCTCAGCAAGTT